CCTCCCTCCCTTCCTCCCTCCCTCCCTCCCTCTCTTCCTTCCTTCCTTCCTTCCTTCCTTTCTTTTTGAGACAGGATTTCTCTGTATAGCTTTGGAGCCTGTCCTGGATCTCACTCTGTAGACCAGACTGGCCTTGAAACTCACAGAGATCCACCTGGCTTTGCCTCCCAAGTGCTAGGATTAAAGGTGTGCGTTGCCACCACCTGGCCAAACTTAATTTCTAGGATAGACAGTTACGTTTAAGAGTAAACACATCCTCAGTGGAAGAAGCAGTGACCGGTGCGCTTTCAGGGCAGCCTGCTCAGGAGTCAGCTAGTGATGGGACCTACAAACAGGGCTAGCAGCTCCTGTGGCGATAAGCTTATATGTATGAGATGGAGTCGGCACATGGGAATGCCTCAGAATGGAAGGATTTGTTCTAGGATGTACCTTCATAGCAACAAATAATTCTGAGTGTGCCCTCTTTGATGTCTTAATGTTTATGCCAGAGGTTCTCAACCTGTGGGTTGTGACCCCCCTCTGGGGTCACATATCAGATATCCTGCCATATCAGATGTTTACATTATGATTCACAATGGTAGCAAAATTACAGTTATGACGTAGCAATGAAAGTTATTTTGTGGTTGGGGGGCGGTCACCACAACATAAGGAACTGTATGAAAGGGTCTCAGCATTAAGAAGTTTGAGAACCATTGGTAAACAATCTTGAGAAATATAAAAACCATGTGTTTCCTTCATTAAACCTGAGGGTCAACACTAATGGATCATAGTGTATGAACTAATACTCAGATTCACCTGGTTTAATAACTCTTTTCTTTCCCTTTTCCAATTGGCACATTGTTTCATGGCTGCTCTCCTAAGGCCCATGACATATGAGTAAGTATTTGGGTTTTGTTTTATTCTAAGAATTATCTGCTATCTAAAGTGAATGAAGGTTTATGGGAATATTCCAAATGATTGGATTTAAGAAGAAAGTAATTAAAATAACTATTAAAAAGGCAAATAACCCAGCCTTTAATTGTATCTATTGATACGACTGTGTCTATTTGGTATTGTGGCTACAGATTCTTGCAAAGTTGCTATTTGCATCTATGTATATGAAATTAATATGAACAGATACAAAAAGTACATGCCTCTCTGCGTATGTGGCCCCATAACCTTTGTGACTAGAAGTGGTTAATAATAACACCGAATAGTCTGTGTCTGCTCTTTTTAACCCAATCATTATCATTTTTGATCTTTGCACTAAACTTTATTAAAAGTTGGGGAACTAAAACATACGACACAGTGTAATCTCACCTAGATGAAGTTAGGCTAAATAGATAGAAATAAATTTATAAAAAACAAAATGCTACGTGCACTACTCAAACAGAAGATTGAAAGGGGGGATCCAGAAGATGGGGGAGGGCAAGTGTTTATAGCCCAAGACATCGTGAGTGTGAAGGTCTTGGAGGCACAAACATTTTGGTGCATTATCAGAACAGGATGCCTCTAGCTTGCACCACCATAAATAATGACAAACACAAAGAATACTGTGGGGAAAGGGGGGGGGATGGAGAATGGTTCCATAGGCTTTTATTGGTGATGGCTAAGAGTTTCAACAGTATCTTGAAATTAAGAGCTTTTTAAAACAGGGTCTCACAGCAGACAAGCAGTGGTATGTATGGCCAAGCTTTAGAACCCAGGAATCTAAATACTTCAAAACTATGCCAAAACTTCAGTAGAAAAGAAAAATGGAATCTAGCCCGTCTTGTATGTGTGTGATGGGGTGAACTAGGGGGAAGGGTGAGCAGGGTTTGCTGGGAATAGAACTCAGGACTTTGAGCATATATTTATGACAATATGCATGCCTGTACAATTTATGAAAACAGATCTGTTGTGGGGTTTCTAGGTCCATATTCTGGAATTAAATTCCAGGTGTGAGCATGGCCTTAATTACATATGATCTTTAGACAATGCACCCAATAAACCTGACTTTCAGTATTCTCAAATATGTGGTAGAGAGAGTAGGTCATAGCCTACCACTCTGGCACAATTATTTTTGAAGTAAAAAAAAAAGTATAAATAAAGATGCTGGAAAAGCGTGTTGCTCTACAAATACGCTGTTAATTTTCCCGAATTGTTTGCCAACTGCTACTGCTTTTCTCAGGAACATGGACATTCTGTTCTCGTTTCCTGGTGGGGACTGCGGTAAAGGCTTCTTCCTTGTCTCTCTATTGGTGGAAATCGCAGCTTCTCCTGCAATCCAAGTACGTCTGCTCTTTCTTAGCTGTTTCCTTCCCATTCACGTAAGCAGGGCAACCCTGTAGCCACTAAATTACAATAGCATGGTTGACTTTACCCTGCTCATAAAATTGGAGGAAATATATCCTTTACTAAAATAGAAATATTTTTCTTTTCTTATTTTATTCATTTTTATTTCATGTGCACTGGTGTTTTGCCTGCATGTGTGTCTGTGTGAGGGTGTCAGATCCTCTGGAACTGAAGTTACAGACAGTTGTGAGCTGTCATGTGGGTGCTGGGAATTGAACCTGGGTCCTCTGGAAAAGCAACCAGTGATCTTAACTGCTGAGCCATCTTTCCAGCCCCCAATATTTTTCTTTTGTACATCTCCCTGAAATATAAAATCCAGGGGCCATGCATTTAGAATCAAATTTGAAATCTCAGCAAGAAATCAAAACCTTCAAAGGGATTTGTCATTAATATAGAGTGATGTAAATCCATTTTTTTTTTTCCTGACTGCAAAGAGAAATGCAGAGGGCTGGATAAAGCGCTCCTCCCGAATCCGTATGAAAAAGCTGGGCATGTTGGGGTGCACTTGTCAGGCCCAGGTGGAGATGGGCAGGTCTCCAGGGCTCTCTGGCCAGCCAGTCAGCCAGCCAGCCAGCAAGCCTAATTAGTGAGCTCCAGGCCGAGGAGAGGCCCTGTCTCATAAACAATGGATCAGCCCTTAGTGATTCTGGGTGTTAATCTCACGTGCCTCCACGTGAGCACAAACAAGCACATGTGTGCGCGCCCACGGGCATATACAACTTCATGTACATTCATGTGCACACAGGAACTAGAAGTGGAAGCATGAACTTGACCTGCGGAGTAAGATAGGGTTTATCCTGTGCCTATGCTTGCCGCTAGATCTCCTACACCTCTCATGTTTAAACTTTACTTCGAAGGCAGTCCCCACTGTACGCAGTGCGGTGCAGCATCAAGACCAGGAAACACTGGGAAAGGCATTGGGCGACATAGCCACCAGTCTGGAGGCCGCGAAGGAATATTTTAAGAGGATGCGTGGTAAGTGTTGTTGGCGGTACATATTCTGGGCTCACCGCCATCTATGTCTGGTGTCTGAAGCAAAGAGGTGCTTAAAAAAGGAAGCGCAAGGTACCCGTTACTGAGTGTCTGTCCCTGTCCCTGCAGCATCACGCTTTTGTGTGGTAGAGCTCAATATTTCCTCCTTCGGGAAAGGAAATCTAAAGTCAAAGAGATAAGCCCACGCCCCTGGTAGTAAACAAGGAACCCAGAGTTCCAAGCGGGGTCTTTTTAACCACAAGGAACTTCCTTGACTGACACTAAAATCCTCGAAGAAGCCTGTTGAATGCAAAGGCAACTTAAGTGTTCAAAAACCTAGACTCTGGTCTGAATTAACTCTGCTTCTTCACAAATTCACTATGGGGTAACAGAGAAAAGAATTGTTCCAAAATCGAAGTAGGAAAAGTACAGACTCTACAAAACCCAGGAAGTGTAAAAGAGTACTTTGGAAAGGAAATCTGCCTTCCTGGCTCCATTTAACAAGTGGAATTTTGTTTGTGAGTTTGAAGCTGCGGCTGATTGCCTATTGAGAGAGAAAACCCTTCTAATCAAATGTTAGTAAGCTTTAGGAAGACCCATAAACGGATCCCATGGGGCTACCTTGTGCCTGCGTGCATGCTTGCATGTGTGTGTGTGTGTGTGTGTGTGTGTGTGTGTGTGTGTGTGTATGCGCTGCTAGTGATGGTGCCCAGAGCTCACAGATGCTAAGAAAGCACACTACCATTGAGTTACCTGCCCAGTCCTGGTTATTTTTGCAAGCATTGTGTCCACTGTGTCAGGAAGCATATAGAGAGGTTCTGGGCAATGCTGACAGTATCATGTCGACGATGGTGTCTTGTAGGTGAGGATAGTTAGTCCCTTAGCAGGCCCAATATGGGGTACAGGGGAGGTGATGAGTAGACTTCTCCAGGAGAGGACTGAGGAGAGAGATGCTTGACCACGGAGACTCTGTAGGTCTGCCTGATGTCTTTATTGTCGTCTGAGTTGAAATCCAGAGAGTCATTCACAGTCTGTTGAATTCGTTGTCTACCTCTGATGCTGCTTAGTAAATACTTTCATCTTTTCACAGACTTTGTGGATCCAGATCAGTTTTTCAATGTTCTGCGCATATATTTGTCTGGGTATGTAGTCTGAGGCTTGAGTTGGCTTTCTCAATTCATGTAAAGAACAGATTAGATCTCAGTTGCTGATCTCAACTATTCTCTGGCTTGAAATAATAATTCCCATGCTCACATCCACATCCATGATGCCTAGAAAGCACAGGCTGTGTTCTCTGGTGACCATTGGCCAGGGAATCCCTGGAAGAGGGGTGGGAAAATGATTCAGAGAGAATGATCTGAGACATGGTGAAGCAAGATCCACTCAGGAAGCTGTCTCCGAACTATGTGATTTACTATTTTCATGCATGAAAATGAGTGACAGAGGGTGTATGGAAGAGTTACCTCTAGCATAAGATTTTTCTATCTGACAATTAATTCAAATTGTATTTCTTCTTTTTTGGCCTAGTTGGAAAGGCAACCCCAAGCTGGCCGAGGGTCTGCTGTATGAGGGGGTCTGGGATACCCCGAAAAAGTTTTCAGGGGGCAGTGCAGGCCAGAGCAGCATCTTCCAGTGCCTCGACGTCCTTCTGGGAATAGAGCACAGCAGTGGTGAAGGTAGGCAGACATGACAACGTGTATTTTCTTTTCTGCTACCAGGACTGTATCTCAAGTCAGGGTAAGGATCCTCCCCAACAGCCTCTCTCCTGAATGAATCTGGTGCGTTAGGGACTCCCACCCCATTTCACAGATGAGCGAAAGCTCACACCCAGGTTCATCATTCTCTGCACTGAGTATTGACACACAGCCATAGCCGGTGTTGTATGCACTGAAAATGAGACACATCTGTGAGCAGAAGCTGGGAGGCAGGGACCTCTGTGACAGCAAAGGGCTGGCACTGCCCTGGTGTGCAACATCCTGCAGCCTGGCAGCCCAGAGCGAGGCTTGCACCCGAGGACTGCATTTATGAAATGCTTTCTAGGGGCTTCAAGGGAAAGAGAGAAAGACCCTCCCGCTTTTGTGTTTTCTTAAGCTTAGCAAACACAGAAGTTTGCACTGGGTGAAACTTACTTAAGACACATGTTTAAAAGATGGCTTAAACCCTTCGGTGGGGCGTCATGATTGGCCAAGGGCAGATGATGCATTCCCTTTCTAGACCAACAATCTCTCAGAAGGATCCAATATGACAGAAAAGCAAGCAAGCAAGAGCCAGGTGTGACGCTGCACATCCAGAGTCCCAGCACTCAGGATGCTGAAGCGGAAGTGTTGCAAAGTCAAAGCCATCCTTAGCTACGTGCATAGAGAGATCCTGTCCAGTAGAGCCAAATAAAGCAAGGAGAAAGGAAGTCATGGAGAGGGAGAGTAGAGAAGGGGAGCAAAAGAGGCAAAGAAGGAGGGCAAAGCAAACAGAGGCAAAATATCTTATTAGGAACGTGTTACTTATTCTGTCTTCAAGACTAACGGGAATCTTCAGTAATAGCCATTGCTAGCAGCAAGTAGCAGGCTGTTCTGGGTGGGTGGCCTTCCTTCGAATTCTCCGCAGTGGCTGTAGATAGTGATCAGGCAGCCTGACTGGCTCTGCCCTCCTTTCTCTCCTCTCTCCCCACCCGCTTACCTGTCTTCATCTTGCTGTAGGCTCTCCTGCAGAATTCCTCCAGGAAATGAGAGAGTACATGCCTCCAGCCCACCGCAACTTCCTGTGCTCCTTAGAGTCCGGTCCCTCAGTCCGTGAGTTTGTCATTTCAAGAGGCAATGAAGACCTGCAGAAAGCATATAATAAGTGTGTGAACGGCCTGGTCTCTCTGAGAAAATTCCACCTTAACATAGTAAGGACATACATTCTGGATCCCGCAAAGAAGCAGCGCGGGGCTACTTCCAAGTCTGAAGAATCCTCAAACGAGGAAAACAGAGGGACCGGGGGTACTGACGTCATGAATTTCTTGCAGAGTGTAAAGGATGCAACTGAGAAAGCCCTTCTGAGTAGTGCTTAGTGTAGCAAGATTGCATTTGATCAGTGCACAGTGATCTGCATACATCCTGTCATAGCTCATTAAATTAGACCCACTGAGTAAGAGTAGGGAATGATTTACCAAGAAGGCACTATATAGATTTCAAAATCATCTATGCATCACCTGTAGGAGAATAACAAAAGTGAACTAATTAATAATATTTAAAAATGATATAAGAAATACTGTAAGTTATATTGATGATTGGAATGTGACAATGAAACCACTAAATAAAAAAATATTGTGAAGTGGAATAAATCTTGTGTCCTTTGTAGCTGTACTTAAAGATCCCTCCAAATGACTCTTACTTACCAGGGCTGAGTCCTAAGCTTGCAAGATGCTACTACTGCATTTTTCCATTGTTACCTTTTCATTGGTCTGTATTCTCATTACACAGTAAGCTTAGGATGCCAGACGACTGTCTACCAGTCTTAGCAAATACCTCTGGGATGAACGAATGTGGGAATGCCTTTATCAGGGCTAAGACGGGATCTCTTTTTGTGATGGTTTGAATGAGGCATGACCCCCGCATAGATTCACACTGAGCAAGCTGAACACTTGCTCCTTTTGATGGCACGGTTTGGGGTGCTTATGGCCTTTAGGGGGTGCATCCTTGCTGTGTGAAGTGGACTTTGAAGGCCTGCAGCCTTGTCTGCTTGCAGTTCACATTCTCTGTTGTCGTGTGGTTAAATATGTGACTGGGCAGCTTCCTGCTTTGTTGCCTGCTGCAATGCTGTGCCAACTCTCATGGACACCGTCTCTGAAAGTGCAAGCCACAATGAACTGTTTTTTGTTTTTTTTTCCCATAAATTGCTTCAGGTCATGGTATTTCACTATCACAGAAATAGAAAAGTTACTAATAAATCGTCATAATACAATTTCCCCTTAAAGACTGGGTTACTGGCATTCATACTCTGACATGAGTTCATTTAATAATGGGGTCCTTGATAAGTTAAGAGGGACTGAAATGGGGGCACAGTGGCTTGTGTGCCCAGCATTCAGGTGGCTGACACAGGAGGAGCATGGAAGTTCAGGGAAGACTGCACTACCTACTAAGATCCAGGCCAGCCGG